GAAAAAAGTGTGATTCCATGTTGGAATGTCTTTAAAAATGGATGCTACCATACATGTGAGGTTCACCTAACCAATGAAAAACACAAATCTAAAAAAAAAAATACCAGAACTTTTGCTTTCATATTTCATTTCTTATGAAGCTTAAATAAAAGTGAAACATGTTGAATTTATAAACATTTCCTATTTTTTCCTTATCTAATCATTCTGTCAATCCTTCTATCATTTGATCCAAATCTATATATATATCCAAATTCATATATATATATATATATATATATATATATATATATATATAGGTGATGGATAAACTGTCATCTAAATTATGCAAAATTGAAAATAACACTGACATCTCATTTTAACAGATATATTTACCAAAATTATACAAAAATATCTTGAAATATTAAAGAGTAAATTTATTCAATAAAATTGCCAGTGGCTTCAACCATAGTGCCCAGACGACTTCAGAATCTCCTGCAACTCTTCTGGATGGTCTCCTTGTTTAAGTTGGTTAATGCTGCCATAATTTTTGCCTTCAGTGAATCTTTGGTGCTACAAGGAGTTTTGTTGGCCTCTTGCTCAAATGCATCCCACACATAATAATCAAGGGGGTTGCAGTCTACCTCTTCAAGGTGATGTAGGCCTCCATGTTGAGTATGAGGCCCTCACCAACAAATTTGAAAGTTCTTTTCTTATCAGAACAGAGCGAGTTTTTCAGGCTGACGTACCTTTGTAATCACCATTAAACTCATCCAATTCTTTCCAAATCCTCTGCACTGTTCTCAGATTGACACCCTAACACTCTGAAATGTTCATAATTCCAAGAAGTAAAGCAAGCTGTTTCAAAATTGCTGCCAGAGTGATTTGCATCATGGTGCTCTTTTTCTCACAGATGGCGGCCAACTGACCCTACTACATTGTGCAGTTGACAAAGTAAAATGCAAACAACGCACATGGACAAAATTAAAAATATAAAATGATGACAATTTACCCATCATGCCCTGTATATATATATATATGTATATTATACATTCCTCGAGACAGTGTGTATGTATGGAGAGGGAATATACACATATATACATGCATGCTGAGACAGAAACACATGAAAATGGAAATAGATCTAAGAACACACAGAGGTCATTAAAACATTAAAAGATAAGATACCGATAACTAATTCATCATTTCTCTCGGACCAATCTTCACGCAGAACTCTTCACTGCCAGTTCAAGAAAGAAATTCGGATTACTAACACATAAAAAGAGAATGTCTTATATTGAGAATATTTAACATCAAAAAACAAAGTAGAAAAAAATTAATTATTTTTAGTAATATGTGGAAATCTCCACCCTTTCCCTGATGACAGTTGTGAGATCAGAAACACGTATAGTAAAATTATGGAAAATAAAGCATAATTTAAAAAAAAAAATCCACATTACACCAAAAACGTTTGCAATATCTCTCTTTTTTTTTTTTTTTTTTTATATATATATATATATATATATATATATATATATATAAATGGTGGAGTAGTGGATAACAGTTTGGATTGAAGAATTGGAGAGCTGAGTTCGAATTTGAGTCAAATCCATAACATTCACATACATGCTAATACCCTTGGGAAAGGTATTAATCCTCCTTTTCTCCCTCCAGCTGTGGGTAAATAGCAGGACAGACTGGGTTCTATAACCTTGGGTGGCAACAGGTTTAGGAAAAGGACAACTCTGAATACAAAACCTGTGGAGGGTCATTTGGGGATCTTGTGGCATGTAGAGCACCAGGTTTCTGTATTCGGCCTTTCAAAAAGTGTGGTTGGTTCTGCAGAAAGCCTTCACCACTATAATCTAATCTCATGTGCTAGTGTCTGGCTGTCAGTTCCTAGGAACTGACCCTCATACATCGACTATGATGGGAGAGTCCACCATATATATATATATATATATATATATATATAAAATAAAATAACCCTTTATGAAGATGTCAAAAAAACAAAAGTTAGCGACTTACAATAGTTTTTTTTTTATATACACAAAACCCTTTCAGAAAAAAAAAATAAATAAATCAATAAATCTCCATAGACACTTATCCAGACTAGACAATGTCATCTTCTGCTTTAAATTTAGACAGCCCAACCTTACCCTGACTTGACGTCTGTGAATGTAACTGAGATATTGATACAAATTATTAACCCTTACGCCCCTTTTTCTTTAAACAATTGCTCTAGCCATTACCTTAGTAATTTTAATTTCAATAATGAATATGCTTATAAAACGCATAAATTTCAGGAATAAGTTATTCCCAAAAAATTTTGCTTGAAGATGGAACGGAGCTTAGTACTTTAATTCAATTTAATTCAAATAATTATATTGAAGTTTTCAGCTCTTGTTTTGAAACATGAGAACTCTTATGTAGCATTGGAATCATCTTTTTAAATAAATAATTATATATATGTGTGTGTGTGTGTGTGTGTGTGTGTGATTAAAGCAAAAGATGGTCCACCTGTGCT